ACAAGAGCCTCAATGTCCAAACTATCTGTCCTTGGCCACATGTCAGGGCTAGGTACATGATATATTATAGGACTGTAAGCTGCCAGGTACATAGGTTTTTTGAAGAAATCATGAACAAAGTCCTCCGGCTGAAGCTTAGCCTTGTGTATAGCAGAAACAACATGATTGCAAGGAATCGCTGTCATATCCCACTTCTTACAACCACAAGTCCTATGTGCTAGGTTGACAGCATATGTTCTCTCCTCACTAGTAACTTGGAAAAGGTTGGGGCCAGCCATCAATGATTGGCAGTTTCTAGACCACTTCTTTGCTTCCTCCAATTTCTCTGCATATGTTGGACAAATCTCCCATCTGACAGTCTGAGTCTTGGTTCTATTTGTATTAAACTTGACCATTAATTTTGTTCTAATTCCATCAACCATGGTCCTTGTTGGCTTAGCCCTGACATCTAGAACCCACTTGTTGAAAACCTCACTTAAGTTGTTAACTACTAAGTCTGTTTTGCAATTTGTGTCCATGGCATGTCTGGCCCAAGTGTGCTTTGGGATTTTACTAAGCCAAGCCCATGCTGCCTCACACTCTCTCTTCAACTCATCCATTGCAACATTATAACCATGTTCAGTGTATGAGTAACTTGCTTCATCCATGTATTTCTTCAATTTTGGCCCTCTAAACCCAGCATTTTGAAAGTTCTGGTAAATGTGTCTGAGGCAAAACCTTTGTGGACAATTGGGAAAGACTTTGTTTATGGCTTTAAGCAGGCCCTGTGTGAATTTAAGTAAAGCTAACTTAGTGACTACACCTAAATAATTGTGTAACTACTAAAAAGAACTAAATGATTGTGTACAAAAAGTAGCTACACCTAAATGCAAGTAACTACTAGGAATGGAAAGAACTAAATGAAAGCTAGCACAAGTAGATTTCATTACCTTCTGCCTATCAGAAATTATTGTGTAGTTGCCAAAATTCCCAGATTGGCCACCTAGTGCTACCTTCAGCTGATACAGAAACCAAGTCCAAGAATCTGTGTCCTCCTTATCAACAATTCCAAAAGCAATGGGAAATATATTATTGTTCCCATCTCTTCCAGTAGCAGCAAGGATCTGTTGACCAGTAGTGAGCTTTATGAAGCATCCATCCAGACCTATAACAAGTTAACACATTAGGAAAACTATTTGAAAACACACATTATTCAAACACACATTAGATACCAAGGAATTACCTATGAATGGTCTGCAGCCACTCAGAAACCCTTCTTTGCATCCATTTAGGCAATAGAATAATCCATGAAACCTAGGATTTGTGCTTGGATGCTCCCTCAAATGTCTTGTTGTCACTATACACCTTGAACCTGGATTAGTATCTAGCACAGCCTGCAAATAATCCCTAATCCTGGTGTACTGGGCCTTCTGATCTCCTAACACAACATTCTTTGCTGCCTTCTTAGCCCTGTATGCCATGTGGGTTGATATTTCCACTCCATACTTGCTCTTTGCAGTGTTAATTATAGTAGTGATTGTTGTGCATGGGTCATTTCTGATTGCTTTCTCACAAAACTTTGCAACCCACTTAGCAGTAACTTTTGTGTTCTCTGACACAGAAGGACAAGTGTGCACCACATACTGCTTCCTTATGGTAAAAGTCTTCTCATTTGCAATCTGAGAAGCTGATATATAAAAAGGGCATGTCTCATCTATGCATTGTGCTATAACCCTGTCACTACAATTTCTATGGTACTCATAGTTCCTGTTCTGTGCAATGTGTATTGTTTGAAGTGCATTCCTGAACTGGTACACATCAATGAAGCAAAGATGCCTCACAAATTGCTCAGCTGGGTGAGCTTTATTCTCATCATACCATAACCTTTTCTTCATCTTCTTAGCTCTGTTTTTCCTGCCATTGGGCAAGACATATGCCAATGCCTCTACACCATCATCATCTTCCACACCCAAGTCCATTGGTTTCTTGTCTTCATCAGAAGATGGTATCCAGTCCTCCTCAAACAACTCCTCTACACTTGCACGTGATCTGCTTATTGGGCCTTTTCTGTGTTTCTTCTCCTTTTCTTCTTCTGTCCATCTTGCCCTACCTGCTCCAGATTACTCTCTTCCTCCAGAGTACTCTCTTCATCCTCTTCCTCCTCTTCCTCCTCTTCTTCACTTTCAGGCTCATATGGTGCATCCTCCTCCTCTGTCTCATACATTTCCTCAACATATGTGTCCCCTTCAAAATGAAGGAATGGATCTTCCCTTTGTCTTTTCATCTCCTCAAGCCTAGCAAGGATATCACCATATTCTTTCAAATCATCATCACCACTGTCCTCCTCATTATCCATCACTACAGCTTTTCTCTTCAAAGAAGTGTCCTTCTCTTTATTTTTCTTATTCTTCCTAAACATTTGAATTTCCTTCCTCCTTGTCTCCTCCATAACCTTTTCAATTTCCATTTGCTCCTCTGAATTGTTTACAGGATTTTCTTCCACTTGTACATAACCTAAAGCAAGTTGCTCCTCCAAATTGTTTGTGCTATGTTGTGTTTGAAACTGTATGGGCATTGGCTCCAGTTCTGCTGCTTCTGAACTTGCTGCTGCTACATGCACATTTCCTGCACTGAACATCACTCCTCCTTCATCTATCTGATATAGTTTGGGCTCTCCAATTTCTTCTAGAGGGATTTGCTGCTCAATAACATTGGAGCTGGTGTTTATAGTTGCAGTATTGGGAGAACTGGCCCTAACAACTGTCACATTCAATATCTTTTGATTTTGCAATGCTATGTTGTCTAGAATTTCCTCAAGCTTGTCATCATCATCTATTTCTTCCATTCCTTCTATACCTAGCCCAGGATCCCTGACATAGTACATGTAATCTTTAAATCCATAACCTTTTGTTTCTATCAGTGCTACTAGGTTGTAAAATGTTATGTCTGACATCATCATAGATCTCTCAATATTGTCTCTGTCATGAAAATGCATCCTCAATTCCCAAACCTCATCATCCAGACTGCAAATAATATAAAATACATAGCAGTATAAGTGCTTAATTATAACTGAATAACACTAATGAAACAACTCATGTCAGTGCACTAATACAATCCTTTGTCACTTATAAAGCAGATAACATGATAACTCGTTTAACAGTGAACCTAACCAAATGTCTAACTTCACTCCAATTAACAGTGTACCTAAAATAAACTGAATAACAAAGCACAAACATGCATTCTTCTAAGTTAATAATATCATAATCATATACTATACCAGGATAACTTTGCTGCTCGTTTATAAAAACAACTAAATCAGCTTATTTGTCAACTAATCTAAAAATGTCAACCCTAGGGCACAGGACAAACAAATCACAGAATCTAAACTAATCTAAATTATGTCAACCCTAGAGCACATGACAACAAATCCACAGCATCTACTCCATCTGATAGGATAGAGCAATATGAACCCTAACCCTAGAGTACTCTAGCAACGCAATTGAATGAGAGTACTCATTGAATGGAGAACAAGAAGGGGAAGAGCAAAGAAAAGTGGATCTCACTATACGCCGCCGTAGGATGACCCGATGTGTTGGCTTCCCTTCGGATTGGCCTTCACCGCCGCGGCGAATGCTCTCGCCGCCCGGTATTCCATCGAATATTGCAGGTCCTCTTCCTCTGATTCCTCCGTCGGCTTGCTAGGGTTCGAGCTCCCGCAAAGCTCGCCTGGATCCACTGCGGGTCCTCCTCCGCTGCCGGGCGGAGCGCCGCCACCAGCAACTCCACCTTTCACCGGGCTACGCATCTCTGCAGTGCGAGGGACAAGGGGGCGACGGCGGGGGGAGCGAGGGGGAGGGGGCAACGGCGGCGGGAGCGAGGGGGAGGGGGAAGAAGAATGGGGAAACAGAGACGGATGCGGGGATGACTAAAGACGAGACCTAACGACGCCGTCTAACGCCGTCCGCCGGCTGTCGGGACGGCTTGGAATGCCATGTACGCGAAAAACGGGCCCCACCTGTCATAAACTCACTTAACTCAGCCCGATCCGCCGATCAATGGTTTTTGCAAAACAATTACGCTAGACGTGGTGCTTTCTACAATGATTCTGTACCCTAATGTTTTTCGCAAAGCTAGCCCTCAATGTGGTGATTTTATGCAATTTACTCATCCATGCACAACTTTTTTAAAATCATGTAATCTGGGGGCTTGCCAAGTCATTACACTCGCCAAAATCTTTTGCCCAATGTGAAGTTCATGCCACGCATATGCTAGTACAACCTCCGCTCATATATCTGTATGTAGACAAATCTAAAATGAGTAATTCGGGATGGCGGGCATATTAAATTCGGGTTTTGGTAAGATTTCAGTTTAGACCATTCATGCTCAAACAGTAAGATTAGACATCAACCCAGTATCCGATACTTGTATAAAATGAAATATCATTTTCCAAAGTTCAGATTATGTAAGAAGACGTGGAACCACGGGCGTGCGGAACATATGCATGCGCTCCGACCAGTCCTGCTCTGCCGACACACACCCCACTAATCCGGCTGCTGAGCGATCTGAACCAAGATACGCCGTGTCGTCCAGATCTGAACCAAGATACGCCGTGACCTCCGGATGATCACCGTGGAGTACACCCAGACGGGCGTCCTCCTGCCCAAGCCCCCCACCACGGGAGAGCACGGTTACCACGCCCTTGTCGTCGAACGCCTCACGTCGTCCTTTCGCGCGCGCGCTGGGCCGCTTCTACCGCTACGCCGGCCGCCTTGTCGTCGCGCCGGGCGGGGAGGTTGGGAGCATCTCCGTCTCGCTCCGCTGCAGCATGGAGGGCGCCGAGTTCGTCCACGCCGTGGCTCCCGGTGTCACCGTGGCCGACGTCGTCGCTCCGCTGTCCACACCGGGGGGTGGTCCAGTCCTTCTTCCCGCTCAACGGGCTGCTCGGGGTGGACGCTGCTGCCGGCTCAAGGCCGCTCCTGGCAGCCCAGGTCACCGAGCTCGCCGACGGCGTCTTCGTCGCCATGTCGCTCAACCACGCGGTTGGTGACGGGACGGCCTTCTGGCACCTCTTCAACACCTGGTCCGAGATCAGCCGTCGTCTGAGTGACGACGCCGCCATCTCCTCGCCGCTGCCGGTGCACCGGAGGTGGTTCCTTGACGGCTGCCGTGTCCCGATCCCTCTGCCATTCGCCAAAGTGGAGGACATTGCCAGCTATGGGCACTCATCATCGGTGCAGCCGCAGGACTGCTTCCTCCATTTCTCCGCGGAGAGCGTAAAGAAGCTCAAAGCGAAGGCGAACGCCGAGGCGTCCGGCACCGGCACCGCCACCATCTCCTCCTTGCAGGCGCTGCTGGCGCACCTGTGGGTCGCGGTGTGCCGAGCGAGGAGGCTGGCGCCGGACCAGAGCACAACGTACGTGCTCCTCTTGGATCCCGGGGCCGCGTGCACGGCATACCGGTGGGCTACGCGGGCAACACCGTGGCACGCGCCGAGGCGACGTCCACGGCTGGCGTCATGGGCGCGTAACCTGACGTTCGCATGCACGTCGGCGCCACCCCCGGCGCTGGTGGTGACCGGGAACTCGCCACGGTTCGACGTGTACGGGAACGACTTCGGCTGGGGCCAGCCAGTGGCCGTGCGGCGCAGCTCGGCGAACAAGATGGACGGGACGGCGACGGTGTTCCAAGGTAGGGGCGGCGGTGGGAGCATGGCCCTGCAGGTGTGCCTTGCGCCGGAGGTGCTCGCCAGACGAGTCACCGACGACGAGTTCATGAGCGCGGTCACAGCGTGATCCATCAAGCTTCTTCTTGCTGGCCGTGTCAGGGCGTGGTTGAGAGGGACACGTGAAATGTTACGTGCTTGCTTGGAGCAGATCAACATTTGACAGTGACTGATTATACTACATGCCAACTGCTCAAATAGCAAGATCATATAATGTCAGATTGAGGCTGTCGAGTCATGTTAAGTGTAATGTGGAAGCTCTCCGAACAGAGTTTCAATGTTCGTCCATGTAAGCTAAATTATCTATTTTTTCTGGTTCCCATTCATGATGGTTGATTTAAAGCTAGAAGAAAAATACATCCGTCATGATGAGGGGATCCTCCTACGAAGCAGATCAATGAGAAAACACGAGAGAAATGAAGAATCCACACACTAACACAAAGTAACCTGGACTACCGACGACAAGAGACAGAACAACTCCTCCAGGGGAAAACACCAGGCCTAGTTTTTTTTAGAACGAGCCCGATTTTAAATTAACAAAGCCATCAACCGATCAGGACTTACAAACATACACCAACCTGTTGGAAATATGCCCTAGAGGCAATAATAAATTGATTATTATTATATTTCCTTGTTCATAATAATCGTTTATTATCCATGCTAGAATTGTATTGATAGGAAACTCAGATACATGTGTGGATACATAGACAACACCATGTCCCTAGTAAGCCTCTAGTTGACTAGCTCGTTGATCAATAGATGGTTATGGTTTCCTGGCTATGGACATTGGATGTCGTTGATAACGGGATCACATCATTAGGAGAATGATGTGATGGACAAGACCCAATCCTAAGCCTAGCACAAAGATCGTGTAGTTCGTATGCTAAAGCTTTTCTAATGTCAAGTATCTTTTCCTTAGACCATGAGATTGTGCAACTCCCGGATACCGTAGGAATGCTTTGGGTGTACCAAACGTCACAACGTAACTGGGTGGCTATAAAGGTGCATTACAGGTATCTCCGAAAGTGTCTGTTGGGTTGGCACGAATCGAGACTGGGATTTGTCACTCCGTGTAAACGGAGAGGTATCTCTGGGCCCACTCGGTAGGACATCATCAGAATGTGCACAATGTGACCAAGGGGTTGATCACGGGATGATGTGTTACGGAACGAGTAAAGAGACTTGCCGGTAACGAGATTGAACAAGGTATCAGTATACCGATGATCGAATCTCGGGCAAGTAAAATACCGCTAGACAAAGGGAATTGTATACGGGATCGATTGAGTCCTTGACATCGTGGTTCATCCGATGAGATCATCGTGGAACATGTGGGAGCCAACATGGGTATCCAGATCCCGCTGTTGGTTATTGACCAGAGTACGTCTCGGTCATGTCTACATGTCTCCCGAACCCGTAGGGTCTACACACTTAAGGTTCGATGACGCTAGGGTTATAAAGGAAGTTTGTATGTGGTTACCGAATGTTGTTCGGAGTCCCGGATGAGATCCCGGACGTCACGAGGAGTTCCGGAATGGTCCGGAGGTAAAGATTTATATATGGGAAGTCCTGTTTTGGTCACCGGAAAAGTTTCGGGTTTTATCGGTAACGTACCGGGACCACCGGGAGGGTCCCGGGGGTCCACCAAGTGGGGCCACCGGCCCCGGAGGCTTGTATGGGCCTAGAGTGGAAAGGGACCAGCCCCAGAGTGGGCTGGTGCGCCTCCCACCCTTGCCCAAGGCGCAGCTAGGAGGGGAGAGGGGAAACCCTAGGCGCAGATGGGCCTATAGGCCCACCCTAGGGCGCGCCCCCTCTCTCCCCCTCTTGGCCGCCCCCTCCAAGTCCCATCTAGGGCTGGCCGCACCCCTTGGGGTGGGAAACCCTAAAGGGGGCGCAGCCCCCCTTCCCCCTATATATACTTGAGGCATTGGAGCAGCCCAACAGATGAGAACTTCTCCTCTTGGTGCAGCCCTACCTCTCCTCCTCCTCCTCTCCCGTGCTGCTTGGCGAAGCCCTGCTGGATTGCCACGCTCCACCACCACCACGCCGTTGTGCTGCTGCTGGATGGAGTCTTCCTCAACCTCTCCCTCACTCCTTGCTGGATCAAGGCGTGGGAGACGTCACCGGGCTATACGTGTGTTGAACGCGGAGGTGCCGTCCGTTCGGCACTAGGATCTCCGGTGATTTGGATCACGATGAGTACGATCCTTCAACCCCGTTCTCATGAACGCTTCCGCTTAGCGATCTACAAGGGTATGTAGATGCACTCTCCTTCCCTCGTTGCTAGTTTCTCCATAGATAGATCTTGGTGACACGTAGGAAAATTTTGAATTTCTGCTACGTTCCCCAACAGTGGCATCATGAGCTAGGTCTATTGCGTAGATTCTTTGCACGAGTAGAACACAAAGTAGTTGTGGGCGTTGATGTTGTTCAATATGCTTACCGTTACTAGTCCAATCTTGTTTCGATGGTATTGTGGGATGAAGCGGCCCGGACCGACCTTACACGTATTCTTACGTGAGACAGGTTCCACCGACTGACATGCACTTGGTGCATAAGGTTGCTAGCGGGTGCCAGTCTCTCCCACTTTAGTCGGAACGGATTCGATGAAAAGGGTCCTTATGAAGGGTAAATAGCAATTGGCATATCACGTTGTGGTTTTGCGTAGGTAAGAAACGTTCTTGCTAGAAACCCATAGCAGCCACGTAAAACATGCAAACAACAATTACAGGACGTCTAACTTGTTTTTGCAGGGTATGCTATGTGACGTGATATGGCCAAGAAGAATGTGATGAATGATATGTGATGTATGAGATTGATCATGTTCTTGTAATAGGATTCACGACTTGCATGTCGATGAGTATGACAACCGGCAGGAGCCATAGGAGTTGTCTTAAATTTATTGTATGACCTGCGTGTCATTGAACAACGGCATGTAATTACTTTACTTTATTGCTAAACGATAGCCATAGTAGTAGAAGTAATAGTTGGCGAGACAACTTCATGAAGACATGATGATGGAGATCATGATGATGGAGATCATGGTGTCATGCCGGTGACGATGATGATCATGGAGCCCCGAAGATGGAGATCAAAAGGAGCAAAATGATATTGGCCATATCATGTCACTATTTGATTGCATGTGATGTTTATCATGTTTATGCATCTTGTTTACTTAGGACGACGGTAGTAAATAAGATGATCCCTTACAAAAATTTCAAGAACTGTTCTCCCCTAACTGTGCACCGTTGCTACAGTTCGTCGCTTCTAAGCACCACGTGATGATCGAGTGTGATGGATTCTTACGTTCACATACAACGGGTGTAAGACAGTTTTACACAGCGAAAACACTTAGGGTTAACTTGACGAGCCTAGCATGTACAGACATGGCCTCGGAACACGGAGACCGAAAGGTCGAGCATGAGTCGTATAGGAGATACGATCAACATGAAGATGTTCACCAATGATGACTAGTCCGTCTCACGTGATGATCGGACACGGCCTAGTTGACTCAGATCATGTAATCACTTAGATGACCAGAGGGATGTCTATCTGAGTGGGAGTTCATAAGATGAACTTAATTATCCTGAACATAGTCAAAAGACCTTTTGCAAATTATGTCGTAAGCTCGCGCTTTAGTTCCACTGTTTAGATATGTTCCTAGAGAAAATATAGTTGAAATGCACCGCTCAGTGTGCTAAACCCCAAACGTCGTCTGTGGATGTTGCGAACATCGGACATACACGTTTTGATAACTACGTGATGGTTCAGTTAAACGGTTTAGAGTAGAGGCACCAAAGACGTTTTTGAAACATCGCGGAACATATGAGATGTTTCGAGGGCTGAAATTGGGATTTCAGGCTCGTGCCCACGTCAAGAGGTATGAGACCTCCAACGATTTTCTTAGCCTGCAAACTAAAGGAGAAAACCTCAATCGTTGAGCTTGTGCTCAGATGGTCTGAGTACAACAATCACTTTAATCAAGTGGGAGTTAATCTTCCAGATGAGATGGTGATGTTTCTCCAAAGTCATTGCCACCAAGCTGCTAGAGCTTCGTGATGAACTATAACATATCAGGGATAGATATGATGATCCTTGAGGTATTCACGATGTTTGACACTGCGAAAGTAGAAATCAAGAAGGAGCATCAATTGTTGATGGTTGGTGAAACCACTAGTTTCAAGAAGGGCAAGGGCAAGAAGGGATACTTCATGAAACGGCAAATCAGCTGCTGCACCAGTGAAGAAACCCGAGGTTGAACCCAAACCCAAGACTAAGTGCTTCTGTGATAAGGGGAACAACCACTGGAGCAGAATTACCCTAGATACTTGGTAGATGAGAAGGCTGGCAAAGTCGATAGAAGTATATTGGATATACATTATGTTAATGTATACTTTACTAGTACTCCTAGTAGCACCAGGGTATAAGATACCGGTTCGGTTGCTAAGTGTTAGTAACTCGAAATAAAAGAGCTACGGAATAAACGGAGACTAGCTAAAGGTGAGCTGACGATATGTGTTGAAAGTGTTTCCAAGTTTGATGTGATCAAACATCGCACGCTCCCTCTACCATCAAGATTAGTATTAAACCTGAATAATTGTCATTTGATGCTTGCGTTGAGCACAGACATGATTGGATTATGTCTATCGCAATACGGTTATTCATTTAAAGAGAATAATGGTTACTCTATTTATTTGAATAATACCTTCAATGGTCTTGCACCTAAAGGAATGGTTTATTGAATCTCGATCGTAGTGATACACATTTTCATGCCAAAAGATATAAGATAGTAATGATAGTACCACTTACTTGTGGCACTGCCATGTAAGTCATAATGGTATAAAACGCATGAAGAAGCTCCATGTTGATGGATCTTTGGACTCACTCGTTTTTGAAAAGTTTGAGACATGCGAACCATGTCTATTGGTGTATACGCATGAAGAAACTCCATGCAGATGGATCGTTTGGACTCACTTGATTTTGAATCACTTGAGGTATGCAAATCATACCACATAGGCAAGATGACTGAAAAGCCTCGGTTTCAGTAAGATGGAACAAGATAGCAACTTGTTG